CTCCCCCCCCCCGCCCCTTTTCCCCTTGTTTTCTCAACAGAGCAAAGAAGGGAAAGAAAATAAGATATATCAACCCTTGTGGGTAAAAAAAAAAAAAGCAGTTTTAATATAAGCAAAATAAAGCAAAGGTCTGTGTGCGGAAGCAAAAGCAAATAGATTTATTCTCTCCTTCCCATGAAGAGGCAGTGTCGGGCCTTCTCAGGAGCAGGGCTCCGATACGCGTAGTGATTGCCCCGGAGGACCAAGGGTGACCCCACCCCCTTCCTCCTTTCTCCCAGCTTTATACTGAGTAGCCGTCACATGGTCTGGAATATCCCTTTGGTCGGTTCAGGTCAGTTGTCCTGGTTATGTCACTGCCCAAGATCTTGCCCACCCCGTCCCACTGGGGGAAATGTCGGAAAGAGCCTTGGTGCTGTGTAAGCACTGCTCAGCAGGAGCCACAACACCAGGGTGCTGCCAACACCCTGCCAGCTCCCAGCATAAACCACAGCACCGTGAGGGCTGCTGTAGGGGAAAACCAATTCTAGCTCAGCCAGAACCCGTACAGGTATACTGATGGTATACTGACGCTGGCATTATCTTACCTGCTCATGTACCTCTGTGTTTAATCCTTGAGTCTTACATGTGAGCACCTTCTAGGGAAACACAAATTTAGAAGAAGGCCCATGACCTGGAGAAAGCAGGTGTTCACCAAAGGAAATTCTGGGTAACCTGAATAATCCTTGGGTACCTCTCAAAGGACCTCATTCAAGGGGTACACTATTTCTCACTGCCTCTTATCCAGAATCACGTTATTATTTCCCTCTTTTCTTCATCTTCCCCACTTTTTATGAGGCCAAGAGAGGGCCTGTGGCGTCCAGGGTGTAACAAAGGAGAAGAAAGAGGGAGTAGTGTGAATAGGGTGCAATCACAGATGTGAGAGAGGGGAAAATAAGTCAGGAAAGGTAAGTGTAGAGAGGTGTTAGTAAAAGACAGAAGTGTGAATGAAGGGAGAAAGAAGTAGACAAGTGTCAGAGGGTCTGAACGGAGTTGTAAAGTAGCATGGCTCCATCCAAATTGATGGTGTAATCTTACAGTATGATGGATGGGTATCAAACTTAAAGTTAGGTTGTTGCTTGTTCTGCACACTGAGTAAAACAAGAAGGACCATTTCGCTGGCCCCTCAATGTTCCAGCTTTCTTCTAGCTGGTGCAGAGGAGGGGCAGAGCCACAGCCTGACCTGCCACCATATTTCACAGTGCTAAAAGTAGGCAGTTACAGTTGAGTCTGTGAGGTTTTGGCCCGCCCTGCTTGGGCTATATGTGGGCAGGTCAGAAGCTGGTCATGAAACACTCAAGGCTATGATGACTTCCCAGATGCTTGCCTGGAGAGTTACATCCATGACAAGCCCAAGTAATGAAACTGTCAGTGATAACACTGGGATGGCACTGACCTACCATACCTAATTGTTTCTTGCAGGCTAAGTCTTTGTAACTGCTCAGGCTTAATCACATACGTAGAAGCCATTCTTCCCCAACCTTGACAGCTTTATCTGATGCCTGTTGGAAGGATTTACGTATCTCCAAAAAGCTCTGCAAGAAATGGTTTATTATTTGTGTTCATTAATACACTGGAATCATTTTTTATGGGATTCTACCACCCTGTCAGAATGTTAGATTTTCCCAAGATGATTATTTATAGTTTACTTCTCTAAGATAGGGGTGATCCCCAGTCCTTGTTCACTGTTAGATTGTTAATGACATTCTTCGTTGAATCAGCTCAGTGTGTTAAGAGATGCTTCAGGAAAGAGGAGAAGAGAAATAACCCTTGGGCTGGGAGTACATGTGATGCATGGCCCACAGGCTTTCCTTTTTCTCCTCCATTCTTTTTTCCTTTTGTTTTTTTTTCATCAGGCAGGAATCCTGTGGGTGGGGGGAGGCCTGGCATACATGCTAGCATTCAGTGTAACAGCAATAGTTTTCAATAGGCAGACCAGACGAGCCCGGGGACATGAAGAAACAGCAGTGGCTTTTCTTACCCAGCACTGCTGTCCACCCCAGGCCAAACTAAAACAACAGTCAAGTAATTAGTTTGGTCTGTGTGCCAAACAGCTTCAGTGACACTCTGTTTCACTGTAGTCCTTGTAGCACAGTAGATAGTTTCACAAAGTTATTTACTTGCAGAGCTTAGGTCTCAGGTTCATTAGGGGCTTTTATTTGTTTTGTTGATGTCTGGTTTTTGTTGTTTGGACTTCAAAGCCCCACAGGCCAGGGTTTCCCATCTTTCCATCAGATACCCAAGTACTGTGACTCAGCTTTCAGTGGCTTAAGGTATTGACAATGAAGCATGGGATCAACTACTTTGCTAGTATTTGTTCTTGCACTTAGAGTATTATGCCCCTCTTAGGGTTCCAGTCCAGGTTGCTCAGTACTTGGTCTTAAAATACTTGTCTGCGTTTTTTTGTCATAAGGAAAAATCTAAAAAAAAAAAAAAAAAAAAAAAAAAAAAAAAAAAATCTTGGTCAGCCAACTACAGGCTTGAGCCCAGGATTTTGGATGTAACTGTGATCTCACTGGAGTAAGCAAGAGCTTTGCTATTAACTTCATTAGGACCAGAATTTCACCCTTCCACGTTTTTGTGTTTGTCCAGTGCAGGATAGAAACTGTGTTTCTGATTTAGATTTATGGAACTCAGTTGTGCAATCCTAGTTTAGCTATTGTATAACTTCCTTGCCTTTATGCAACAGCACAAGGAAGAGTGAAGAAAATAAGCACTCCTTTCATTTACTTATACAAACTGCTCAAGGATCTGTCAAAAGACTGGGACTATTAGTGAGGTTTTCATCTTCCTTTAGG